CCGGAGCGATTTTTGCTAATTCCCGTCCACGGGTATTTGCCCATTATTCAGGGGCTCATAAAAAATACAGCACAAAAAAAAAGTAGAACATGAATATTTATTAAACTTAAGCAGGCGTCGTTGAAATGTTATCTCGGCTAGGAGAATCACCACGATCGGCAGACAAATGGCCGCAACTTATGGGACAGAGATCAGAGTTTACGCGAAAATGCTATCTGCTCAGATGGCATTTTACGGAGAGTTGTGTTCTCGACCTTAATATTTGCTCAGTTTTTTTTTTTTTTTTTTTTTTTATGCAGAACGCGACGATTGGCTCTATCCGTGTTCTGCAGGAAGGTTGACACAGCGGCCTTGTTCATAAGAAGTGCGACTCGAGCAAACACGATATTACAAGGACAATGTACAAACTTTTCTCTCCACTGCCTATACCATTTTAACCGTTTTTGTTTTGTAGATGTTCTACTCAACTTACTGAACTGAAATCGATTAGCAATTCTAAAAAAAAAAAAAAGAAAGCCGTTTACAACTCCCTGTAACGCCGAATTAGAGCTTACCTCTTGAGGAGGAGGAGGAAAGGATACTGAGGGTCACGTGTTCTCGAGGGGGTGGGGTCACGTTACCTCACGGTTACGCCCATGGCGACGGCGACGGCGCTCAAGCCGGAAACGGGCGCCTCAGAGCTACGCTCTAAAACACAGATAGATTTTGACAGCCATATCTATACCCTTTCTATAAAATACTCGGCAGTTTTTCGCGAAAAAAAACACAATTTTGAACAGTAATTTTCGGTTTCTCTCAATATATTCTCGGCAACATGTGCACGCCAATCGCCTTGCGCACATACGCAGACATTATAAGTACACACGCCACCGGAGCACTCATAACACAAAATTTAGCACTGTTTGACTGCTCCATCAATATATAAAACATACACTTGAAGGGTGTAGTATTTAATTTTTTTTTCATTTAAGTCACTCGCCACACTACCTAGATGGCGCCACTGTTCCACCATTGCGCCCGTGTTATCAGGGTTGCGTCCCCGTGGCGCTCAACCCCACGTTGTTGACCGTTAAATAAACAGTCTCTCTCTTCGTCCGGGGCTCCCGCGCCCGGCCCGCCGGTCACCTCTTCGGCATGTAAGACCCCTCGTTTTCCGCAGGCCCACGCAGGCACTGCTCTTCTTTATTTTCTCGGGTGTCCGCATTTTCTTTTAATTACTACATTTTGGCCACGAAGATTTTCTTTTAATTACTACATTTTGGCCACGAGGATTTTCTTTTAATTACTACAAAGGGCAATCATTTCAACGAGAACCAAACCCAGGGGATAAAAAGGTCATAACTTTTCTTGGCAATGCAGTGGAAGGTACGTCCCGCGTCCCCTCTCCCATTTTGAGTGTACGCAGGCTCTCCTCCTCTCCCCGGAAATGGGGGAGGAGGAGAGCCTGCGTACACTCGATATGGGAGAGGGGACGCGGGACGTACCTTCCACTACATTGCCAAGAAAAGTTGTAGCAGAGTATAGACCTTTCCAGCGGCAGTCTCGAACGAAGCGATTTACAGCGCGCGTCCCTGGTTTTGAGAGTGGACGTCAGTGTTGCCCGACTGCGCTGAGCTGTGGAGTTTCTCGTCAGTAGGCTGTGGCAGCCTGCGTAGGCGCAATTCCGGACGCTGGTGGAGGCTAAATTGCCGCTTTTTCTTTCTTATTTTGTGTTGTGTGGCGAACATAATTTATAGAGGTATTTAAGAAAGCAGTGCTCTATTTTTTGGAACAAAAACAAAGAAATGAAAGCTGTTTTGGTGAGTCCGTGCGCGACAGAACGAATACAACTGGAATGGTTGTTTCATTTTATGTTCATCGTTTGACGGCACCGTACACTCAGCCGTGTCAATCTATATAGGTCAAAATATTTGACCACATAGGATATCCGAACTGCATGGATATTCCCCGCCCACAACATGAAATTCAATGAGTCTCATCAATCGAACAACATATATTGTACGTACCCCACGGTGCCGCGTTATCCGAACAGGATCTGAGAAAGGTCTCAAATAACACAGCATATCCAATATACAGTGTCGACGATAATCACTTCACGAGAATCGGACGGAATCCGGCGCGTTTTGGGGAACATGTAGAAGAGAGCACCTTTTTTGCACAGCTTCAAAGCAAATGAACGAACGTGTCTATTCTGTCCCCACACCCCGGACCCGACCCTATCAGCTATATTTCGCGAAGACCCGGAACACAGCCGGGAAGGCTTTTTGGAGATTATCTCAACGGAAATAATCCTCCAAGAACGTCGAACTGCCTGCGTCGCGGGCTGCTTGACGTTCGCTCTCTTCGTTCGTTTCCTGCGAAGGCCGAGCAGCCTACAAGCCCTGGTATTTTCTGGTTCTCACAGTGGAAGATAACATACAAAGGGTAAGCATCCTAAACAGGCGAATAAAGTAAAAACTTACAAGAAAAGCAGGCGAACTCCGAATGCAAAATGCAGGTGGGGAGTCACGCTGACCGGGTTTCCACAGCTCAGGCGGGTGCCAGAAATTTCTGGCTGATAAGGGTCGCTCGATTCGCAAAATGGCGGCGGCCAGAGCGCTCTTTTTGCAAAGGTCTATAGTATGTTGACTTTTTCTCGCCAATATTTTTATACGAAATGGTATCTAAAGCGCGAGATAGATGTACGACGAAACCGTCCGATCCGACGTCCGATCAGGCAATACGACGTTCGGAGGCGAGGGTTTTCAACGCTCTCCGGTGCTACGAAAACCCTCGCCCCCGAAGGTCATTCCGGCAGTTCGCACGTCGGATCGGACGGTATCGGGGGGGGGGGGGGGGGGGGAACTGGAGCCTTCCCCCCCCCTCCCCTTCGCCCCCTTTTTCCTTTTCAGACGTCACCGGTAGAGTAGAAGGCTCCTCGACCTTTGTGTCGGCTTCTGTGCTTTTTGCTCAGAGCTTCTTCAGTCACGGAAACAAAACCTCCAAAACAATTACAAACTAAAAAATTGCCAAGGTGCAGGCGAGCTGGTATATGTTGATCACAATGCAAAATCCTGAGAGTGGGAATTACATTTGAAAGAAAAAGTGTAAGATGACAGAAAAAAGGGGACAGGACAACGTCTCAAACTCAGCCCAGTTGAGTTTGAGACGTTGTACTGAGCCGAGCTTTCAGTCGAGTTGAGTTTGAGACGTTGTCCTGAGCCGAGTTTGAGGCGTTGTCTTGTCCCCTTCTTTCTGTCTCCTTACACTTTTTCTTTCAAATTTCATTCCCAGTCTCAGGATTTTGCATCATGTACAAACTAAACTTACTATATGCCAGCGTCACTCGGGCTGCGTTCGATTGGATTACTAATAGCGTGCAAGGGGATAGGGACGCAGTTTGCCACGTAGATTTAAGGTTTTTCGGAGCCTCAACCACGTGCCTGCCCCTGGTCGTTTCGAACTGGATGAGTATCGTTAAACAGTCCGTTCGTGTGATCACTACTGCGTGATCACACAATGAACGTGCAGTTAAAGATACCCTGGGCTGGCGGTCACAATTACTGATCTATGGTCACACGTCACTCTACACTGGCAAATATTGCAGCACATCCGGGACACTCGTCTCATTTAATTGCCTGACCAACTTCGCGCAGGCTAAATATCACACCCGGACTTTTCTAAACCCGATTTCATGAAAACCAGCGAGGCGTGAAAACATTATTTGAAACTGAAACTGTGGAGGAACATGAAAACCGGACTTCGAACTTTGCGCTCTTGGACTTGAAAGAAATTCGAAACCTTCGAAGTTCCTTTTCAGATTTAGCCCTAAAAGGGAATCGAAACCTTCAAACGTTATGTAGAAATTCGAAATCTTCGAATTTATCAAACTTTATGTCTATAAAAATTTGAAACGTTCGAATTTCAGATCGAAACAAATTCTATATCTTCGAATTTTTCGAACTTCAGATTCAAAGAAATTCAAAATCTTCAAACTTTAGATCCTAAAAAAATCAAAACTTTCTCTCGGATTTCACGTTAGGAAAGTTCGAAATCTTTGAATTCCTCGAACCTCAAGTAAAAAAAATATTTGAAATAATCGAACCCAAACTTTTAGAAACCCTGAAAGCTTCAAACTTTTCGAATTCAAAACTCCACAGTGTTTTAAAGTTGCTAACTTTTCAAATTCGAACCTCGGTACAGTCGGAAATATCGAAATCTTTCGAGTTTGAAAATATTGAAACCTTTCGAATTCGAACCTAGGGTGGTTCGCGGCATCCCTAGTCTTGCAACCTTTCCAATTTTTCAATGTGGCAGCGTAGCGTCGCCTCAAACATAAAAAGAATTTTTATGTTTGAGGCGACGCTACGCCGCCACATTTTTTCTTCCTCCTGCTTTTATGTTTTTTTTTTTTTTACTTTTTGTTCTTCTCTTTTGCTTACTTGATAATCGAACCACCACATATTTTGCTTTGCTTTGTTTGGCTTAGTTTTTACTCCTTCCTTCGTTTTGGCACTTGCTTCCGTCGGTTCGTCTGCGACGCTATGCCGAGACATTTTGAGGGCTGTCTAGAACTTTGTTGTTGCTTTCTTCCACTGTCGTCTGCGATAACCTCCTATTTTCGCCTTCGATTTCCAATTTGAAATCTTCATATGTGTATTTTTATATTTATTAAATATATTAACAAACAGCTAAAAAAAAAAAAGTTTTTTTTTTTTTTTAAGTTTTATCGTATTGCTTTCGCTTTTTTTTGTTGTGGATGCAACGGCAGCGACCACCACTCACTTTCAATGCTCGTACCGATGCCCTGCGCGTGAGATACCCGAGCTGGGGCTCTAAGCCGGACACTTGGCGAAAAAGTCGGCGAGATTTCTAACAGCCGCTTTTGGTCAGCGCCAAAACCAATCATGCCGCTGACCAATCGCGGCAGTAAGAAATCTCGCAGGAAATATAAACAAAATATTCAAGCACACTACACAATTTGATCTGGTCCCCGTGCATCGTGAGGACAGAGACCACACTGACAAACTAGAGCGTTTTATTCAGGCAAAGACAATACAAAAAACTCGAAGGCCAATTCCATCTGGATATTTTTTAGCAAGAAGGGGGGGACAAACTACAAAATTGCCAAATATTAATAAACTGAATACCTGGAAGAATACAACGACGTTGGGCACCTACGTCTAAAATGTCATCAACTCATTCCACGCAAGCACACAACATAATGTCACAACTCTGTCTTTTTATTATGTACGTGCGCCAACAACAAAACAAGGGTTCTGATTTCCAAATCTGGCAGTAACAAAGAAGGCGCGGGAAAACAGTCTACCGGCCCTGGGAGGGTGGGCAGCTGCAAGTGCTGCCTCTTTCCCTGGGCACAACATTTGGCAAACTCTCCCAGGAGGAGAGGCATGCAGAAGCAGACGCGACAACCGGGATCAAGCTCCCGAATTCAGAGGCACTGCGGGGAAGGCACTGGCCGACCTGCCAACAGAGCCGACACCTGTGAGGGTCCTTGTCTGGACAGTTTGGGAGGCCCCGCACTTCGTTTAGTTCCGCAGCAATCTGGGGTAACACGCAACGTCCGACAAACAACTTTATGTACATTGTATCTACAGCTATCTTGAAAAACATTTGCTGACTGCCAGGGATAGTGAGTTCTAACCAATGTCCCAGTGTTGAGAGGAAAAGCGAATGGAGGAAAACGAGGGTCCATCAGAATGGCTTCAACCGTAGCAGAGAAAGTGGCGAGGTCGAAGGGAGCACGAGCGTTTGCACGGCGAACTGGAAGGAAAATGGTGCGTTGCAGCTGAAAAATGCTCGGAAGAAGGCAAATTGTGCTTTGGCAGTTTCGCGGCAGAGCGCCTCGGCGATCGAGGCGCCCGGGGAGATTAAGAGCAGAGGGCCGCCGCAGAGGTGTTACGGCCTTTCGGCTCCCTTAGTTTGCCGTTCCCTTTCGTTTCGAGGAAACTCGGGCTTCCTGATTGGCCAAGAACTAGACTATCACGGTCTAACATAGAGCTCTATATAATCGCAATAGAAAAAAAAACTAACAAAAACAAATGGGAACAAAAAGGACATTGTCTGCAGACGTCGTCATGCCACACCTGAAACCGTTTCCCATACGAACAGTTTTCCGATAGGAACGGTGTCCGTTACAAACGGCTTCCGTTACGAATGGCTCACGGTACGCCAAGAATGTTTCCGGGACGCAAATTAAAAATAAGAAAAAAAAACAAAAGGGGGCGGAAAAGTATATATTATGAGCCTGCAGCAGTAGCCGGCAGGTCGGGGCGTCCCTCTGGTGGGCCCCTCAGTGGCAGTTGTTCTGGTCCCCGGCGACGGCGGTAGGCAGGGAGGTGGTGAAGGTGGGCGTCTCGAGCTCCTCGTGCTTGTTCACCTTGGTGCCCTGCTGCAGCTTGTAGTGGTTGATGATGTCCTGATCGGCGGGGCAGGACTGGGTGAAGGCGTCCAGCTGGTACATGTGCCCCATGTAGTTCCACATCGACGTCAGGCTGCGCGGGATCTCGAAGTCCGCAAAGTACTTGCCTGCAAGAACGCAAAGACAGCCTTAAATGCTCGCACTTGTGCCTCGGTTCGTAACCCAGTAACCCGACGACAGATTCCTACGTCGCATGACACTGCGAGGGACGGTCGAGGAAATTGTATCATTTCCAAACCACAACTCGCAGAAATAAGCGTCTTTCTCGTGACCATGGCATCCACAATGTACGCTTTCACCCGATGTGGGTTGCAGTCAGTCCATCGAAGAATTGAGAGGGCGCGGATGCTCCCATATCCTCTCCCATGCTGTTTCTTTTCACATTCAGCATTCCTACCATTACACTTACACTTTCCTTGCTTTTTCACAATTTGAGCAGATTCGGCCTGCAAAAAGAAGTCTGCATGCAAACCAATAGACTCAAACAAATATTCTGCAGTGCCTATCTCCATGTTTAAGATGAAACTTGATTTTCAAAGTAAGTGTACCGCAAATTTTTACAAAAATTAACATAGAACACATGTGATACGAGAATTAATGCTGTAGATTGCAGTCACAGTTAGCTCACATTTTATGGTGCTGGTAATCTACTTCAAAAAAGTTAACATGAGTATCATTCGACAAAGAAAATCATTTTCAAAGTGTCTAGTGAAAACCAACCTTATTCAGATTTGCACACCATCCGTTGGATGTTGCACCAACCTTTTTACTTTCGTAACCTCAAACAAACAAACTGTTTGAAGCGATGGGCAGAGCACCGCCATAGGAAAGCAATGCTGCACTACTGCTGTGTCTCGCTGCACAAACAACGAATAAGTAAGAAGCCAACTGAAGTAAATATATGGGTTGCATTTGTTTTTCTTTTCAATCTGAAGTTTTTACGGCAAATCTTGGAATAATTGTAGCGTTCTTGCTGGGACTATCCGAATGGCAAAATGGGCCTGCGCCGCCTGCTTCTACTGCGGGCCTTTTTAAATTCTCTCGTTGCATGAAGCTCCCCATCACTGTATTAATGACTGGTCATGGCTGCTTCCTAAACTGTGCCGGTCGCGTCCACAGCAACCAAAGCGGCGGCAGCAATAAAGACACCGGAACAACTGCGGCTCATGATCCTTTCAAGAGGCTGCTTCTTGCGTTGCTTATCACGCTGCGTACGGCAAACAGTTTTCCCGGCTTTTGATTCCTAATGTCTTTTCGGTCATTCTGAACGGAATCAATTCAACTTTTTGAACCAGGCTTGTTAACATAATTCATTTTAAAGTATCCAATGCCTCCACCAAATACCAGAAAGACAACATTGTATGAACTAGCACGGCGAATACTAGGCAGGCAGAGTGAGGACAGTGGAAAAGCCTCAAAGATGGCGCAGAGGCTTGATAGTTTGCGCGGCCAACGAGAGATGGCGATAATAATAAGTAAAGTCTATTACGACTTCTTTAAAGGTAATTGCTCGCGGCGCACTTACACCAACAGCACACATATCTGCTTGCATAGTGCCACTGTACGGGCAAAGTGCTGGCTGTTCCAACTGCCCAAGCATCACCACTTTATCACCCTGCCACCATTTTTTGTTACGGGCACTTTGTATGGACACTCCCCTCCCTGGCCTATGTATAAGCTGCTATTAGACTGTTTATTTCCAGCAACACAATAAGCCCTTTGCAACCCCTTGGTTGTACTTGCATAGAATTCATGTCCAAGAGTTTGGTATTTGGCGGCACCTTGCGCCAGCTTGCTAACAGCTGTGGTAGCGGTAAAAGACATGTGGGCTGAATGTCTTTCACCACCGTTACAGGCAAGGTGGTGCAAGCTGCCGCTCAACATGTGCAGTCAGATGCATGTACCTACCGTATTCACTCGCATAATGAACGCACCCCGCCAAAGGGTACCAACATTTTTTTTTCCCCCTCACGTAATGGACACAACTCCAATTTTCGGCTATGTGAGTCTCGAATTGTGTCCCATTTAGCTAGCCACCAAGCCAATTTTCTTTTGCCGCCAAGCGGTCACGCAAAGTAAAGCCAAGCCAAGCTGCTCTCATAATGGCTGCAAGTGCGTAGTGGCGGAAGTGATCAACCACGAAATTGAGCACCGCGCACGTTTGACGAAGCTTGGATAGAGGAATCGACCAGCCCCGGACATTCTTTACCTATTAGATGCATTGATGTCAACAAACACACTGCCGTCTATGGTCTGCTTTCGGACAGTGAAATCGTGAAAGTGGTTAGGCCTAAGAACGGTCGCGTTGCTCTCCGCGCCGGTCGAGCTTCGTAGGGCACTTTTCCTTCGGCAAAAGGCATGCCGAAAGTGCACCAAAGAGGTTCGCGATTTATAAAGCATGGTTACTGTGCCACGCCCCTGACCAGCTGTGGGTGCACCTCCACCAGTGGAGACATGCCCCAGTACCTTGCCGTGTCATACTGGCACCTAATATGACATTTCCACGAAGTGTATAAATGCAAGAATTTTACCTTACGTAATGAATGCACCCCCCAAATATTTCGGCTGAAAAAAAAAAAAAGAGTTCATTATGCGAGTAAATACAGTCTTTGCAAGCACACCAGACTTTTGATTCGTAATAGTTTTTAAATTTCATTCCCCACCATTCGAACACAAGGGCTGACATACGAAAGAGTAGACTGACTGAAAAATTGAAACTCTAACCAAGTTTGAATAAAACCAAAATACCCTACATTTCGGGACCAGCTTGGTTTCTTGGTCACGGGTGACTATGGGTAGGGCAAATCTGAAGACGACGAAGGAGATACGCCCAACTCATAGTCACCAGTGACCAAAAGACTGAGCTGGTACCGAAACGTAGGGTATCTTGGTTTGAGTCAAACTTGGTTAGTTTAAATTTTTTCACTCAGTCTATTTATTTCCTAACCAGACAAACCTCTGTCGAATATGTTTACGTACAAAAGAGTAAGTAAGAAATAACAGGAGGTCGGTTGTAGCAGTCCTTTGCTTTGTGGATGTTTAGTCTAAGCTGCGATCATTATAAAATCCATTATGCTTAATGTTGTAGGAACGACCCAGCACTGCCCTCTGTCCCACCCCATTTGGAACGCTAGCACAGTAGTAAAGTGGTAAGCTAAGCGAGTTGGTAAACATTGAACATGATGAAAAATCGCGCACAAAAAGACAAGGACAAACGAGGAAGGAACACAGTACACAGACAAGTGCGTACTCACAACTCTGGTATATTAGGTGAAGAAAGGAAAGATGAAGCAAGATCCATTCATGACAGGGGACACCGGCACGAGGGGGAATACAGGTCAGTCAGAGTCAAATGTTTGCAAAAAGGCCAACGTCTTTTTCACAGAACGCAACCGACGGCTGACTAACGCAGCGATCGGCCAGACTTAAGATGGTATACGCCTCGAGCACCTTGTGCGTTTGTCTTCCTTTAAAGCGTCCAACGCCTTTTGCGTCCTTGTTTTCTTTTTGTGTGATTTTTCCTCATGTTCAACCCTAGCACAGCCTCTCAACTAGAAGCGTGTCAACACTTCCGGTTTCAACCGGAAGCGCACGAATTTGACAGGCTGAGCAAGCGTCTCAATGTTTTTCACTTTACGGATATTTAGCCAGAAAAATGGATGAGCAATCATTTGGAGTGCGTGTCCATTCAAGATTTCACAGCGGTGTGGAACCAAGCAGCACAGAAGCCAGTAATTCAAAACATCCCTGAAATGGTCCAAGAATACAACTACGTACTGTCACCAATGCCTTCACTAAAAAAAAAAAAAAAAAAATTACAAATTTTTTTATTATTTATTATAACCATTTAGCATTACTCATCAGGTAACCCCCTCCATTTTTTCCCCTTCCCTCTTTAAAAGGAAACTGAACTCCCCCAAGAGCAATAAATGGGGCACATGCCGCACAATAGACTTTGCCCAAAAGCCAAGTTTTAGCAGAATATTTACTACACTGCAAGACACCATCTATAGTTAGAAGCAATTCCAAAACTAGCTTTCATTTCGACGTCAACGTCTCAAAATAAGAGTTTGTTTCAAGACTGCTCCCAATTCGAAATATGCCTCCTGCCATAAATACTTCCCTTTTTTTTTTTTAAAGGGGAAGGGGGGGAGGGGGGGGGGGGGGGGGTTCGACATGCTATTTGGGTAGTTTGCGAGTTCAGTGTCCCTTCCACGTCCGCTCTCTATGTCCAATAACACAAAAAAAGAAAAGTGACCCCTCTCGGAAGACAACCCATACCCTCAAACTTGCCACCCGATTATAAAATGTTATTTCCTGAGCTTCAGATAGAGGTTCAGGAAGCTCGAGAGACATCGCGTTGCTCCGTCTGGAGGACGGAAAAGCGTTTCCTGCGATTTCAGATAAGGCCCCAGATAACTGGCAACAAAAATCCACTCCCAAGTGGCTCGAGCCGAGCGAGCGAGCAAAAGAGGGACGCACCGGCCACGCGGATGTGCTGCAGGCGAGGCATGAGCTCGCAGTCGAAGCAGCACATGGTGTCCCCAGTGAGGAAGCGCTCCCCTCCCCGCTGCAGGTGGGCGTCGATGTTGCTCAGCTGGTGCAGCAGGCTCTTCTTGCTCTGCTCGTCCCTCCGGGTCAGCATCAGCTTGAACTTCTGCAGGGGGCAAAAGACGGGCGAAAAGCGTTCCCATTATGTCGCACAAAGAAGCGCCCGACTTGGACCCACCGCCTCTCAGGAACGAGACGTGAATTGGTATGTGTCAATCTAAGTGCCTCCGTGGTCTTAGTGACACCTTTGGAAAGTGTGCACTCTCGAGTAGCTGCTGTGCCGATTGTACACTCCACCATATTTTGGGCAAGTGCTTTGAGCGTGCATCGGACACTAGCGCTGCAACAGTGTTCGGTGCGTACTCAGGTCCAAATGTATTAGACTTGAAGAATGCGTCGGCGCCGGACATGAGCTTGGGTCCAATCACAAGCCTAGTGTAGAAGCGATGCCCAGAATATGATGGCCACCACTGTTGCTTGACATACTTTTGAGAAGGGTCTACTAGAGATCGGCACAGGCTCGGGCCAACAAATGAGAACCTTACTTGGGCCAACTTAACACAGACCGCGTCGGACCAGGTATGAGGCTTTGCAACCAAAAAATCTGACCTTTCCCAGTGGCTTGAATTGAACAGCATTGCGTGATCCCTATACCGTATTTTCCGGTGTATAAGTCGCAGTTTTTTTTTAAATTTCTGGCGGTGCGTCTTATACAGCGGTGCGACTTCTATGCGTCGACGGTGGAATCTCGTCCGTCGACGTCGACGGTGGAATTCGACGGACAAGATTCCACCGATGTTGACGCTGGAATCTCTTGCACCTCAAACGCTGACGCGCAACTCTTTTGAAACAAAAAAAAAAATCGGGAAACGCCACCCTCGACGTACAACTTTTCCCAGTTCCGGCAAGCCGAGCGTTTTGGAGTGTTCACAGATCCAGAAAGAGTGCGGTGTGCGGTCACAGTCGGGTATTTGCCGTCGGGGGCCACGCAGTTCCCGGCGTCCCGGCATTTCCGGCATCAACTTCCGGTCGCCATATCTGTTTTCCTTTCTTTGTGCCCTGCCATCCGAAACGTGCGACGTGCCTACTGTGTCTTCACCTGTGTCGAGCACCGCAGCAACATGGCACCGTCCAGGACGCGAAAAAGCTACACAGCAAAGTTCAAGCTTAGCGTTGTTGCATACGCCACCGAAAATGGAAACCGGGCTGCCCGGCGAGAATTCAACGTGAGTGAAAAAATCGTCAGGGACTGGCGGAAAGCTGGGAACTTGCTGCATTCAATGAAAGGAACCAAGAAAGCTGATCGTGGTAAAAAGGCGCGCTGGCCGCAGCTTGAGGAGCGTCTTCGTACGTGGATTTTGGAACAGCGAGCCAAAGGCCGGGGACTTTCGACAGTGCAAGTGCGCCTGAAAGCCGTGACAATTGCGAAAGACATGAACGTGGTCAACTTTACAGGCGGCCCGTCTTGGTGTTTTCGTTTCATGAGACGCAACCACCTTTCCATCAGGGCCCGAACAACAATGTGCCAAGAACTGCCGGATGACTTTCAGAAGAAGCTCGACAGCTTTCGGGAATTTGTGCTGAAGGAAATTCAGGAGCACGATGTAGCTGCTTGGAACATTGTGAACATAGAAGAAGTTCCATTGACATTTGACATCCCTATGGGAAGGAGCGTGAACGAAAAAGGCGAGAAGACCGTTACAGTCCGGACGACCGGCCATGAGAAGTCCCATTTTACTGTGGTACTGGCTTGCTGCGCCAACGGGACGAAACTCCCGCCAATGCTAATATTCAAAAGAAAAACAGTCCCAAAGAATCCGTTTCCGCCCGGAGTCATCGTACAGTGCAACATCAAAGGGTGGATGGATGAAGAAATGATGGGTGTGTGGCTAGACAGATGCTTTTCCCAGTGACCCGGTGGATTTTTTTCACACACGCAAGGGACTTTTGGTAATGGACAGCATGAGGGCCCATTTAACAGATTTTATTAAGAAAAAGATCAAATCCACAAACTGCGTTCCAACGATAATCCCAGGTGGTATGACCAAGATGCTTCAGCCATTAGAAATCTCCGTCAACCGAAGTTTCAAAGCTGTTCTGAGACGAATATGGGAGTCGTGGATGACTGACAGAGACCATAGCTTCACCAAAACGGGACGCGTGAGACACGCATCTTTTGGCGAGGTGGCCAAATGGGTCGAAGAGGCTTGGAATTCTGTTTTCATGGACATGGTGGTAGCCGGCTTCAAGAAAGCTGGCCTCATTGCGTCAGTGCCTAGGAGCGACGCCGACGAAGCAAGCATCAGCAATGAGTCGGAGGACGACGCTGAAGACACATCAACCACGCTAGACCCCGAGATCGCTGAACTATTCCTTACCGATTCGGAGGAAGAGGACTTTGATGGTTTTGTTTAACCCTAACGAACGGAATAGATACAATAAACTGGAGCACAGTTGACTTCGCATAGTTCGACCGCAGGTGGGTCTGTTCTTAATTTTTTTTTTTAACATGCATCTACTCGCGTCTCATTTTCGATAGTAGGTATATTGTACTCCTACATCGTAACGGGTCCGAATCCGTCAGGCGTAGCCCTTGGTTACCGAGGTTTGGCTTTCCCTCAATTTGCGCCCGGCAACATCGATGGCTTGTACACGCGAGTGCCGGCGTATCGAATTGCATTTGCCGCGCCAGTTATTTTTCTCGTTTGATTCATTGCCAAAATTGGCTCCCGCTTCCGTATGTGTCGCGATCACAATACACGTAACACGGGATTAGCAATGCCGCACCGACTACAAAAAGTGCAACTTATACAAAGGTGCGACTTGTATACCAACTTTTTCATGAAAACAACCATTTTTAGGGGGGTGTGACTTATACAAAGGTGCGACGTATAGACCGGAAAATACGGTACTCAGTTTACCCCCAAGCTCACGGTGCGGTGAAAGCTACGAGCTTGTTGGACTTGTACAACAATCTTTCGGAATGCATACCTGCCAACCTAGCAACATGAAAATTCGGGAGGCCGCAACACGGGGGTGTGGTCGAAACTTTTTTTTTTTTTTAGTTTGACAAGAAATCTTGTGAAGAGGCACTCTGCGCGAATCACACAGTCTTCGCAGTTGTTTTGGAGTAAACTGCCGGTGGTGCCCTGCCCTTCTACGGCATGAGCATGGTTCTGATGCTTTCGTGAAGCGATGTGTATCTTGATGTCAAGCTTACCGCCGTGCAAAACGCTCACACATCACAGGCGCACATGGTACAGAATTCATACTCGTCAGCTTTCCACTAAGCGACAAAGCACGGAAACTCAGTCGCATATCTTAGAAATACTTGTAAGTACTTCTTCGTGGCTTTTGAAAGTGCCATCGATCGTTCCAACAGATCAGTGGTTCCAACTAAACTCGGGGAAACACGAAGAGTAGTTCGGCGTTCCGCACCTCACTCGACGACCTGACAAAGCCAACTGAAGCCTAGCGCACCCATGGTCATATAAGCCGTGTTCCAAAATGCGCTCTAACTTCAAGAGTAGAGGTCTCGTACCTTGGCGTTTGAAAATCTACCCTCGTTTTACGCTACTGCTCCGAGTTGTCACGTGGTAACCCGCCGGAGTAATCTAAACCTACTCTCGAGTAACTCGCAATGACACACGCATGATAATTATAGTAATAAGGCGTCACAAAAAAATTAAAAAAATTACGGCGGACATTTTCTGGGAGATTTGAGGTCGCGTCTGTACAATCGGGAGATGTGATCAAAATTTGGGAAGCTCCCTGAAAATTCGGGAGAGTTGGCAGGTATGGCAATGCGATCGTGCTCTCACTCACGCCCAAGTGCAGACAGCGGGTCATGCGACGAAAGAGAGGCTGTTAATTGGTCTGGCGACAGTGCAGCTCCCACTGCACTGTCAGCTCAAGGGCAAGTGGAGTATTTGCAACTTCCACCCGCTGCTTGCTCTCTCGTGGGTGAACAAAGAACCAGCAGAGCAGGGATGGCGGCGAAGACGGTGGAAGAGATTGTTGTGCTTGGTGCTGCCCTTATCGGAGGGATATGAATGTCGTGTTCGTGAATCGTGCAATTTGAACGAAAAAAAATGTGAACGTGTTAAAACAGGAAATGTGTTTTGCTTCACAACAGCGTAGCACGAGGAAACCGAGATGCCCAATTTTATTAGGGACTTTCCCTGGATTGCATACGCTGCAGGTTTCGGGTCCTGCGGTCTCCGACTCAATCTGTGCGCAATGTGACGGCAAAAGCTCCCGTTAGTAGTGGGAAGCTCATGTATGCAACCTACGAAAAGTCCATTTTTCTCGTAAGTAGAGAAGAAGTGCTCGCTCAGCGGTGTGTCGAGCGATGGACATCGAGAATGGGTTTACGTTTTACACCCTGAAAGGCAGTGACAGGAACGTGACCGTTTGCTCCAAGCTTTCAAAAGGCAGACTATGTGTACATGCTTTCAAGTAATTACAAAGGCAAGTAAAGAAATGGTCGCAGCATTTTTATATGCGTCTGTGTTAGTCAGCCGTTCATGACTAGTGCTCAGAACAAGCAATTGGGGCGAGGCGAGTCGCAATGCTGCGAGTAACACGGTATGCAGGTGTAGTATACTGCATATTTGAATATTTATTTTTGATAGATTATTAAACAAAACCCCCAAACAAACCGATGGCATTAGTATGCTGTTTTAGCATAGCATTATTGCAGGCTGCCGTGGGCACAGCAAGGTTTGCGGCACACACTAAAAATCCTTCCTCATAGGCGCAGCGCAAGCTTCTGATTGCGATTGCTGTGCCGTACGGTAGCCTGTGGTCATGCTATACATACAAAAACTGCCTATCACTAACCCTGGCACAGGTTGGTCGCATGTTGAAACATGTGCACAGTGACCTTCCGGAGCTGGAAGGTCACCCTGCACGGCTCGCTTTTTACATCACCAGTTGCCAGGCATGGCGAAAACACCACAATATCTTCATCACCCTCAAAAATTTTTTCACACGCACAATGATGTGGCCAGGCCCAAAACATGCTTGCCCTCCACAAAGCTTCGCAAGATCTGGGAAGTTCCCGCAACTTTTAAAAATCAACGTGTTCATTTTCCTAACGCATGT